AATAAAAACTATAATTTTGTAATTCATGCGAATCCTCTACCTCTGTTACATCTTTGCCATAATCCTGTATTTTGGCTTCAGTCACACTGACTAAATTTTTAGAATTTCAACAGACGTTCACTGTCAATTACACACAATTCGTTGTTCCAGAATAGAACTACAGCAACCCAAGCTATGATTGGGTCATGGCGGAAAACCGCACTTCTTTCCTCTGTGTGCTTGAGTCAACACCTGTTGTTATAGTTGTAACGATCTAGCTCTTGGATTTAGTCACATTAATCTAAGATTGTTCTATAGTTTTCAAAAAACAGATAAATTAAGTCATATTAAGAGCTGCTAATTGTAGTGACGATCGTACTCATGAGGTCATCATGGAGTCTCCCCCTCCTCCTGCTTGAAAGAAGTGTGGTCATTTTATTATCACAGGAGATCCTCACAGCAACTGCTGGAAGTGCAGAGAGGCCAAATGCACTGAAGAGGCAAGATGTGATCAGTGCCCTACTCTGTCTAAGAATGCCCTCAACAAGTTAGCAGAAGCTTTGACTAAAGCTAGGAGGAGAGAAGCTCCTAAGAAGAAAGTCGCCATGATTGCGGCTACTGTATCAGACATAGCCTCTGACCCTGTCATAGTGTCTATACCTACTACTCTGTTGATTGAGTCTTCTTCTGCGTTCCCTATCAACATGCTGGAACAACTCTTCAACCAGCAGAAGAAGATGATGGAGTCGATCTTTGAGTCCCGCTTTACAGCAATATCTCAAGAGATGAAGATACTTGAAAAGAAGCAGACAGTATTGGCTAAGAAGAGTCCTCCAAGAGGTCCAACCACAGCCGAAGCTGTACGGCCTACCCCAGATGACCATATGGACCAGCCGGACAGAGGTTCACAATCTTTACCCTCCTGTGTGACAGGGGTGTCAGACCTTACAAGCCACACAGACCTTACTCATAGCAAAGTCCTGGACACCAGCGGATGATGAACTGCAAGGGGAACACGAGTGTATGGAATATGACAAACATCCCTCCCTCCCGGGACTTACCCTTGGTCATTCTTAGGCAGAATCAGACCAATATGAGGAAGTTTATCTCTCTGAAGATTCACCCCAGCAGGATTATACATCTATCATCTTATGCCTGTACTCCAACCTCCAATGACAGAGAATTCACCACCTAAGATCATCTCAACATATCCACCAGACATTGCCATGGCCGAGTTATGCAGGCAAGGTGGTACATCAGGCTTCTGAAAGCCTACTCAAGCTTAGACATGATGACCAGCTAGCTACCCTTACCTCCATTGAAGCGGAAGTTGTATCAAACCAATGAGCCTCTACTTCCGGATCATCAAGTTTTGGACAAGGATTTTATGAAGCTAGTTTGCAACCCTTATACTAAAGTCACATTACCTGCTTCCCGGATTAAAGAACTGTCTATGGCGTCCAGACATTCAATGGACATTGGCACATATATGAACTGGTTTGTCGCCGGAATAAGGCACATCATTCCACCGTTGTAGACATCATATGATGGCATATTCGGAGAGACTTCTATGACTGTTAGGAGGGATCAGGTCGGACTCATCCACAGCCTGCTTGACACCATAGTCAGAATGCAGGAAGACTTACTCTCCACCCAAGTCTGGATGTCTTCACAGCTACTCTGGGTACAGCGTCAACAACAACTAGCACAGATTCGTTCAAGAGCTTTTTGCAACCAAATGAAAAGGTTGATATGCCACAACCGATATCTGCTCCCAAAATGTTCAACGTAAAGTTGGAACATGTCATAGACGAAGTTAGACAACATACAACTGAATGATTGCAAGTGTCAGCTGTCAACCTAGCTGTCAACGCATATGGATCTTCCTATCCCCCGAAGCATTCCTGAGATCAGAAGGATTCATTGTATATACAGTCACCTAAGAAGAAGTTTGTTCCCTCTGGTAAGAAATCTTTCCAACTGAGTTGGGAGTACGAAAGACAAGAGTCTTCTCAGGATTCGTTTCTTCAACACGACTACAAGAAACACGAAACCTATCGCAGGGGCAAGTCTGGAAGCAGAGGTGAAAGCAGATTCTGACTTCCTTGCCACCCATTCTGCCATTATGGACCCTTTCCACCTGGTTTTGTCTATGGACTACGATTTACGCCTGCTGTCTTTCAACATAATGCAGACCCCGGCGCCAGTGGGAGGGCGTCTTCTCTCTTACACTGAAAATTGGAAGCAGATTACGCCTGACCGCTGGGTCCTAGACGTCGTGGCTCATGGATACAAACTGCATTTCAAGACATCACATCCTGGCATCACAGTCTGTCGGCCACAGATTTCGTCTTGTCGGAGCCAAGCTAGCAGCAGCAGATCTGTCTGTCAGGAAGCTACTAAAGAAGGGAGCCATTCGGAAACTATTGGAGATAACAAGACCAAAGGTTTTTACTTTACTCTCCTGGTAGTCTGGTATTCTTAGTTCCGTAGAAGAATTCGGCTGACCTGAGGATGATAATAGACTTAAAGATCGTGAACAAAACATTCCTGGTACCTGCTCCAAAGTTCAAGATGGAATCCGTACAGTAGTCGCGGTCAGCTTTGAGGACAGGAGATTGGCTCATCAGCCACGACCTACAAGACACCTATCTTCACGTCATAATGCACCCATCGTCATGGAAGTACCTGCGTTTAGCAATCAATCGTCGACGTTACGAGTTCCAGGTCTTACCATTCGGCATATCAATAGTCGCTTGGCTGTTTACTATGACTACACCATCTATTTATAGATTCGGGTTGGGGAGCTCATATGGACGATCTCACGGTACAAAGATCTTGGAACACCGGAGAGACGAGCCTACATATCAACTGGAGGGAAATGAAGGCCATTTGTTACGCCATCCTGGCATGGAATGGCCATCCTCATAGCCACGGACAACACCACAGTTGTGGGATACATGCAGAAACAAGGAGGAACCAGATCCAGTTTTCTGATGATGGAGACTACACGATTTTTTGCCTTGGCAGACTCCAAGGAGTCGGATGGAAGCGGAAGGAAGCGAGACATATACCCGGGAAGCTGAACATCCTTGCCAACAGCCTTTCCCAACAGGGGAGAATAGTGGGACCTTACATCTAGAGATATTTGCTTGGATAACCTGGTTATGGGACACACCACATCTAGATCTCTTAGCCACCTGCCTGAATCATCAACTTCCGGTTTATGTCAGTCCAGTTCCAGATCCAATGGCTCACCAGATAGAGGTGCTATCGATGGATTGGACGGGTCTTTTTGCATATGCATTCCCACCATGGTCTCTCCTAGACAAGGTCACAAGGTGGAGGAGATGGATTGCATGATAATCTTGATAGCACCAATTTGGCCCAGCAGAGTGTGGTTTCCCAGATTATTAAGTCTATTAATGAAAGAACCTCTCCGGCAAGATATGTTACGACAGCCCAAGTAAAAAATGCCTACAACAATCTGCCCAGCCTACATCTAACCGCTTGGAAGTTATCACACAGAAGATGCAGACATCCGGGTACACTGGACTTGCCTCTGAAGCTGTGGCAAGATCATGGAGACCTTCCTCCTCCCTCACATATGACAATAGATGGGATCCGTTCGTCCAGTGGAGAAGACAACAAGGGATCTCCATCCCTATGGCAGTGGATTTTCTACTTTTCTAAGTTCTGACATGGGACGATAGAAGGTTACAGATCGGCACTTCACTCTGTACGTCAACATGACAGGACTCTCAAATGGAAACCATCCCATTCTAAATAGACTATTGAGATCCTTCCTACTAGAAGGTGCTCACACACCTTGTATCTTTCCCAAGTGGAATCTATCTGTTGTATTATCAGCACTTTTAACAGAACCAGGCTAAGGCCACCTTACACCAAAAATCCATGAAAGCCTCCTTTCTCCTAGCCATGGCGTCAGCAGCAAGAGTTTCAGAACTACATGCTCTGGACTATTCTAGTCACAGCCATGATCAACATTGGACCCCAATTACTCGAAGATTTCTCCCAGCCAAGAATCAGTCTTCCGCCAAGGGCCAGAGAAACTATACCATTCCTGCTTTGGGTCCATCAGTGGATCACCTAGACAGACTTCTCTGTCCCATCAGAGCTCTCAAAATCTACCTCTCAGCTACAGACCCACATAGATGCCATCGAAGGAATTTTTTCTTATCCTGCAAGCCTCATTCCAACAAGGACATCACCAAGGCTACGGTAGTGGGCTGGCTTAAACATCCATTGCAGTGAGTTATACACAGGCACGGAATTCCACTCCCCGTCTTGGATCCTGCTCAGCTCATGAAATCAGAGCCCCAGCCATGAGTCTCGCTTCATTGACATCTGTTCCAGTGGAACAAGTGGTGTCTTGCTGTCATTGGGCCTCATAAAACACCTTCACCAGGATCCAACACCAGCAACATCAGAGGGTGACGTCATTATAACCCACACGATCATAAAATATAACAGTAATTCTAGTGAAGGTATCACATATTTGAATGTTTCTTGATGCATTCTGATTTTCAAGTCCTCAAGAGAAATTTCAGAGAAAATTATCTCTGGTCAGGATTAGAATCAATGATTAAATGGTTCCCAGAAGAGGATTACTGTCAATTACACAGGGAGTTACCGGAGGCAGATCCCACTGGATCCCTCTTGTATGTTCTGACAAAGATGAAATAGAGGTAGAGGATTTGCAAGAATTATCGAACAATAGATTACTACCCCCATTACATCTTTGTCAGAACATACTCCCACCCAGCTCCCCAATTCATCTACCTCTACAAGAAAAAAGTGAGGTTTCACGCCATTACGCACGTCATAGCTTGGGTTGCTGTACTGCTATTCAGGAACAACTAATTGTGTGTAATTGACAATGAAGAGGACGTCTGTTGAAAATATAAAAATTTAGTTAGTGTGACAGAAGCCAAAATACAGGATTTATGGCAAAGATATAATAGAGGTAGTTTTCTTAGAAGTTCTTTTGTTTTCCACAGATATTTTTGGTGACCGACTTGTTGTTTGCCTTCTTGCGAAGGCAGTATGATCTGAATCATGGGATGGATCAGAAGCTTGATGACGGGAAGCCAGCACAGATAGTTCTGGACTGAGTCAGTGTGCTCACACAGCAGTAAGGACACAACATGCAGTCATCTTGTTAAACAGAGAACTACATGTATCAAGTTACTCTTACAGTGCTCAATGTGGGAATAGAATTATGCACTGTGGTCATAAATATCTGTGAGGAATGCAGGTATTGTAATAGAATTCCATGTCAAATTATTTTCTATGACTTGCTTGAGATAATGCACATTTAGAGTAAAGAACTGGCTTCATTCCATCTCCACCATGCATGTCTGTGCATCTGTTCATCCATCACATTTCAGGTGATACAAAAGAAACTGTTCAAGATATCTCTGTGAAACTTGACACACACACTAATCATATGGTCTGTTGGTGTCTTTTCTTTTCTGAACATTATGAATGAAGTATTTTCAGTCGAGCTCTGTTGTTTCGAACTCATGGGAATCTGGAAAAAGATTTGAGTTTTCCAGTGTTCGAGACCAGAAACGAAGTGAATTTCCGAAAAGCAAACATCATGTTATGAGAGATTATTACATGTCATCTATTCATGTTTGGTTTCCTACTACGTCTCAATGTTGATAACCATATTGTATCCAATAATTAGATACATGTCTCATGTAACATTGTTTTAAATAATTTATTCATCTGTTGGTAACATTCAATTTAATTATTTTTTGTACTGATAGTCACATGAGAACACTTGAGTAACTTACTGCTAATGTGTATACATTAATTGTCATACTCCTTTGATGAAAGTTGTGCTTGTTAATCAGTCTCGTTCAGATATTTGCATGTTGTGCTAAGTTATTTCGAAAGCTTCCTGTGGCATTTGCTGTAAGGTCAGTCAGTTGTGTGTGAAGTAAGTTAAAAGTTGAAAGTTTAGCGAGTGTGGGTGTGTGGAGAGTATTTTTTAATTTGAACTGTTCGAGTCATCAGAAGGATTTTTGTTGTTTAATTTGGATGATTGGCACTCCCAAATGAGTTTGGGATAACTGGAAATTCAACACATCCAGTTTGATAGGTCCGAGTATTAATTATGATAAATGTAGAAGGAATTTGCAGGGACAGAAAGGTGAGTTCGAGGCAACCAGGAATTCAACACATCAAAGTTCGACACAACAAGGTTCGACTGTCGTTGGTTTTCTCTGCTGATGAAATAAGATCTTATTTTACTGAGTCAGGATTGGGTTTAATCTGGAGCATAATTAAAACAATGTTATTACACATTCTGTTGGAGATGGGTTCATTATAAGTGTTCACCGATCTCGAAGGGGACATCGGTTGATGTGTGACATGTATCAACTATCTCTTCTCATGGATGAAAAATAGTAAGCTTTTCACTACCATGATGTGAACATGGTATTTGCAAAAACAATATGAATTACCTCATGTTTAAAAATGATATGCCACGAATGACTGCCTGATTGCTGATGCTGCATAAAGGAACCTCATTGTAGATAATGGTTCTCTTAGTTTATGAAAATTGTAATTTAAAACAAACTCATGTTTGTAAATATTAGTGTGTCAGTTGTTTAGTATGCTGAACATATGTACTTGATTTGTGAAGATGAGAGGTGCTGGCAGTGGGGGAGAACCAGAGATCTGCTGACAGTCAGGGCAGCAGTATCTCCCTGTCTCAGATAGCTCTCAGTTTGGTGGAGTTTTATTGATTTCATCTGTCGATGGACATTTATGTACACTTCATATTATTTGTCTTGGACATATTCAAATACAAGTCTCCTGCCCTGGACATTCATATTGATACACTGCTTTCAATTCCTATACTCACACGCAAAAGAAACGCAAGTAGAGTATGCAATATACATGTTATATATTTTCAACAGTAAAGACAAGAATTACTAATAGGGCAAGATTGACAAAAATTTGACTGAAGACAGTTTAATGGATTAAAAGACAGATGACATAATTGTTTTTTCCAAATATTAAGGGCTTACACAGTTTTGGGTCAATACCCAAAATGTCAGTCAATACCCGGTGTGACCAACATTATCATTGATCCCTGCCACATATCTCCTGTACATTGAGAGGATCAGACAATTTGTGAAGGCCCTAGGGATCCTCCTGCACACATCCAGAGCAGCTGTGCATAGTTCATCAGCAGTTGTAGGGACTGGGCCTACATTGTGCAGACGCCTTTGAACCTCATCCCACAAGTGTTCAATGGGGTTCAGATCAGGGCTGAGGGCTGGCCACGGTAGAACACGGATGTTGTGTTGTTGCAGAAAGGCCATGGTAGCTCTGGCAACATGGGGACAAGCGTTGTCCTGCTGGAAAATGTGTTGTTGATGTTGTGCAAAACATGGAACAACGTGGGGTCTGATCACTTGGTCGATATACGTCTGAGCAGTGACGCAGTGTCCCCGACCTTGACCAACATTCAGAAAGCACATGAGTCCAAGTCTCGCATTAAGTCCAATCCCTGCCCATATCATGACGCTAGGTCCACCCCATGGACTCCTTTACACAACGTTTCTGTCAGCGAAACGATCGCCTCGACGCCACCAAATTCTGACTCTTCCGTCTGAGACTTTCATCCGAGAAGATGACACGCCTCAACTCACAATGACGCCAATTGCGATGACCCTGTGCCCACTGAAGTCATGCTTGTCGATGCCGTGGTTGGAGAACAGGACGACGTGCTGGTCGGCGACATCTGAGGTTGTTGGAATGGAGACGTCGGATGACAGTGTCCCGGCTAATGTGTCGATTATGTGTTCCAATGGTCTGTCGAGCACTTTCACTTGCAGTTAGGAACGGATGTCGCTGGTGTTGACGGGTAATCTGCCGATCTTGTCGAGGTGTGGTGACCCTAGGACGACCGCTCCGAAGAAGGTCATCTGTGGTCTGTGTAGCATTGTATGGATGCAGGAGACGGTAAATTGTGGTTATGTTAACGTTGAAATGACAGGCAACATCTTAGACAAACTCTCCAGCTTCCAAACGTCGGATAGCCTGGTTTCTCTGAATTTGAGTTAGGCGTGGCATCGTTGACCAAGGAGTGGTAGGTCCAAGAATCGGCCACAGTTTTATACCCACTACAGTTCGTGACAGTTCGTGCATTTTCGATTTCGCAAGAAATGGGTGCATGATACCAACATATTCATTGAAATAGTGCGTTTTGGCGCTTAGTCTTTAATGTAGCGTTTTTACTCAGGGCTTCCAAAATGCAACCAAAAATATTGACCACACCATCAGACTTCACTACATGCTAAAACTCGTATCAATTTATGGTTCCGTGTTTGTTACCAATTTGCTTAAAACAACTTGCGTTTCTTTTGCGTGTGAGTATATATTGAGTGATTGTGTTTTCCTTAGGAACAAGGTCAAATTTTGATAAGTGATTGGATCTTGATCTTTGTCAGGCACTCAGCTACATAAGTTGGTAAATGATGTTACACCATTCAGCATTTAGGCAACATCATGACTAGGTCATCATATTAGTGAAGGACATGACACTTCGTTCTGTCTACTTTCATTGTGTAGCAAATGCCCAGGAATATATTTCACATTACTTATCTTAACAAGTGTGACTCCTTATTCATATATGTTTTTCTACTCTCACAGTTTCAACATGTCTGAGTGTGTAGATTTCAATGTTAGTGTTTTCTTTGTGTAAGCTTTACATTTGAAATTATATTTCATAAGTTGTAGCAGGATCACGAGTGGTACAAGGGGTTTGATGCGTCTCTCGTTAGGTTTTATACTACTCACTGGAGACGAGTAGTATCAAACGTAATGAGGGATGCAAAAAATCCTATGTACCCCTCGTGATCCTGCTAGACACCAAATTTATCTTACTGACATGTTTTAATGTGACATTGTGAAAGAATTAACACAAATTCAATGGATTTTTTCTATCTTTCATAAATCCACATACAGCCTCTATTGTTCGTGGAGGGGTATCAGAGATTTATTCCCCCGATGAGAAATTTATTACCCTCCAAGACGGGTTACACATTATTTTATCAAGATCACGTGGACCAATCAGATCTCATCATTCTGACATGGAGGTATGATAAATTTATATATGATGCATTGAATGGGTCTTCTTACAATTTCACAGCCTGAGAATAAATACTTTCCACAAAATTGAGAGTTTCCTTTCTGTATTTTTAAGGCCATAAAAAAACTGTTGAGAGTAGCTGCAGGTGTATGACCCAGAGTTTGTCCCATTTATCCATAACCAGCAATCAATTTCACTCACTCCATGTGATATACTGACTTTGCAAATGGTAGTTGGCTCACACTGATCCTTTGCAAAGACGTTTATTCACAAATAAAGAGGTGAATTCAGTTGCGCTTGTAGAAACTCTCATCAGTCTTTTTCAAAACGTGATGTACAAATTATATGTGGATAAATTCCAGAATGGCATAACAAATATTTTTCCTAATCTAGGCAAGTATTAACACATAAAGGGTAAATATGCTGTGTCTGTTCTTTATAGATACAATATCATTATAGCTTTCAGCCCAACTGATTTCAGCAATTTCATTTGTGATCACCAAGGAAGACACACTTATCCTCGGGGAAATTACACCTTTGGTCAGGTTTACAAGCAACCTTTATTGCAGTCCATCTCTTGTTAATAAATGGTTGCAAGCAGCCAATTATATACCTAGACAGATGTATGAGATGTTTGACCTTTGGTGGAAGTGCCTTGTTTGTCTCTTTTGCTATAACCTGATGGAGGCTATAATCGGGAATAGTGACACAAAGCATTACTTCATTTGGCTTTCTTAACAGTTAATCTTTGCAGCTAGTATCCTTTTACACTGCTGAACCAGACATATTTAACTGTTCGTCATGTGTAATATATTATTAAGAAAGTAGATTACATCTTTCAGAAAATGTGCTATTACATCTTTAAAGGTAAGTTATTTTCTGCAGTTACATTTCAATTGGAACCGTTATGACGGAGATGAGTGAATACCATCCAATTCAAAAGGTTTTCCCAGTACTCAAGTGTCGACACGTAAAACCAAGATTCTCAGCAGGAACTGGGCATCGGATGTGTCAGGGATTAGCACTTACGTTTTGTAGAAAGGCCAAAATGCCAACCAGCGTCTTACCAGTAGGGATGAATCTGATCTGGCAGTAGGAGGAAGCCGAATGGACCTTGTTTTCTCAGCCCACTGCGTTTTGATGCCGGCGTTACTGTACATTTAGCCATTCACTCCATCTTGTTTTTTCTCGGTAAATTGTTTATAGACAGATTACAGATGTGTATCCCCGTGATATAGGTCCAGTACACAGTTGTTTGTGTAGCGGTACCTGTAATTGCACGTCCCTAGAACCTATGGTAGCAAAGGAAAGCGTTGTGTCCCAAATTATTTGCTTGAGATGCTTGTAGTTTTCAATAAATGTAGCTTTAATGAATGTTTGACTGACCAGTGCTGTCTCGTCGCAGTATGTGGGTTACAGTGCTGTTACATATTTATGAATAGAAGTACTCTAGAAAGTATGTCTTTTACATTGAACAGCAGGGCAGCTAATGTTATGAGGGCACACTCACAAATGGTTGATGTTCATGTGTAGTCATTGATGTTCATTTGTAGTCATTGATGTTCTTGTGAAGTCATTGATGTTCATTTGAAGTCATTGATGAACATGTACATTCTTTGATGTTCAATGTGTAGTCATCGATGTTCATGTGTAGTCATTGATGTTCATGTGTGGTCCTTGATGTTCATGTGTAGTCATTGATGTTCATGTGTAGTCATTGGTGTTCATGTGTGGTTATTTATGTTCATTTGTAATCACTGATGTTCTTGTGAAGTCATTGATGTTCATGTGTGGTCATTGATGTTCATGTGTATTCATTGATGTTCATGTGTGGTTTATGATGTTCATGTGTAGTCATTGATGTTTATTTGTGGTCATTGATGTCCATATGTAGCCATTGATGTTCATGTGTAGTCATTGATTTTCATGTGTGGCTATTGATGTTCATGTGTAGTTATTAATGTTCATGTGTAATCATTGATGATTATGTGTAGTCATTGATGTTCATGTGTGGTCATTGATGTTCATTTGTAGTCATTGATGTTCATGTGTAGTTATTGATTCCCATGTGTGGTTATTGATCTTTATTTGTGGTCATTGATGTCCATATGTAGCCACCATCCTTGGATCCATCTGTAAATATAGATTTATAAGTGTCATAAGTGTTTCGTAATTGATTGTATTCTTGTTCATAAATAAGTGGATTTGTGTCAGATTTTTTTAGTCTAGTTAATGTGAGGTCTACATTTGGCCTTACCATTTGCCAAGGAGGCGATGAAAAAAGTTTTGTGGGAGCTATATCCTGAAAGGTAATGTTCGCAGCAGAAACGACT